TCTTCTTCTTCTTCCTTCTTCTTCCTCTTCTTCTTCTTCCTTCTTCTTCCTCTTCTTCTTCTTCTTCCTTCTTCTCCTTCTTCTTCTTCCTAATACTTGATGAAGTAGGTGCCTACTTGATTGAGTCGGGGTCGGAAGTAAGCTACTAGGAACTTGTTCGCTCCCAGCTAGGACCCCAGCTCGGACGCGGGATAGCTCACGCTTTTTCAAGGAAGCTGGGGGGAGCTTCCTTGAAGAAGCGCACTAATGATTTGGTTCCTAAACTTTTCGGGACACTTAAGAGTTTTTGGTCACTAGTAGCGATGCCAGCTACTAGTAGCGCCCTTGCTCCGTTCGTAGCATCCTAGAAGCATGCTCCACAGGTGTTGATCGCCATGCAGGCATCTCACCGGCCGCCGTGAGCGATCTGAGGCCCGGGGGGGGAGTGGACAGCGATCGGCGATGGCCGACCGTCGCAGCATCCGAGGTGTGTTTCCCATCCGTTCACATCCGTCTATCGCATGGAAGACCATCGGTGTCTCCACCAACAGAGAACACCGTTTCGAGGTCGCAAAGTGCATAAAGTGGTCACAGGACGGGGAAGAAAAGCACAAAGGAGAACCGAACAGCTCTGCCACATGGCCGGCTGTTTTATTTTTAGGCCAGGGGAGGTTATGCTGTTTGCATGTTTCCCATTTTTGGGGTGAGCAATAGCTTAAGTAGCTGTTACCTGGCACACAGAAGGGCTCAGGCTTAATGATTTGGTTTAAGTTCATAGACGACCTTTCTTCTTTGCTTTTTTGTTTCTATTAGCGATGGCCTCCAACCTACTGCTTAATGATTTGGTTCCTAGTCTTTTGGGGGGGAAAGCTGAACTAACGACTACGCCGACTCTGGCAGCTTAAGGAACGTAGGATGCAGCATCAGTGAGACCAGGAACCTCAGCTTTTGGGACATTGAGACGCATGTCCTTCAGTGGAAGAGAAAATTCAATGCTGGTCCCTGAGAGAAAATCGCTTCTCTATGGATGCTTCGTTCCAGACTGAAGACTTCGCTTTCCATGGCGAGCTTCCGCCTTCCGCCTTCCGCGGCAGGTCTGCGGCCGTGGAGCACACGGCGCAGGTGGTCCTGTCGTGTCGCCGTGTCCACAGAGCGGGACGCCCAGGTCCACCACCCCTGGCCTGAGCAGAAATTTTGCCAGTCCCATGGAGTAGCAAATAGCTACTAGTAGCGTCCGATCGCTCCTAGTAGTACTGCCAGGAGCGCCCCCGAAGGTTTCTTGCGAACATGGCGATGCCGTTACGTAGCGATGCTTCTTGTTCGTCCCATGGAGTGTTTGAGGAGTAGAGGAAGCGAAGCGATTCTGGTTTCTCCTGCGAACGTCAATGAATATCACCCGTATCAGTAGATGAATTCTTCGACATCGATGAAGACTATCACCTACCAGACAGCTGCAATGATGGTGGAATGGTGGCTTGATGGCTGTCACTAGTCACAACTCGAAATTAGAAGAGGCAAGTTGCAAGTTACCATTCGTTTGAATTCCTGGCCAATTGAAGAACCCACCGAACGCCCGGTCCTGAAGAAGACCCGAACAATAAGGGATCCTCAGCATCCGAACGCGTCCATCTCTTATTTTTTTTACATGGAAACCCAAACAGCGAGAAACAAATGGATGTTCCGATATTTGCAATTGAAGTCCCGTACATTGGTAAAAATAAATATCTTAAATCCTGCTAGGGGTGTCTTTTCCATCCGTCAGGCTTGTGACTTTGTGACCCTGACCGTCTCCGTCAATGAGAAAACCCCGGAAAAACACGGCCTGGGACATCACCCCCACTTTGGTCTTTGAAGCCGGGGAGGGTTGTATCCAAGCCTGCAACTTCACATGCTCGACCCAAAACCTTCCTGAAGATTCGACGGGTCCACGAAGAAACCGGATCATGGCATGTTTAGGCTACAAAAGGTGTTGCGTTTTGTCGTTTTGGGGGAGGTCAACACGTGTCGATCCACGCTTGGTTTGGAGCCACTGGACCAGGAGGAAGCAGAGATCCCGCTGCGGAAGGAGTGGAGGGATGGGGCAAAGCCATGCGAAGTGCCGCTGCGAAGTGAAATGAACATTTGCAGCTCCACATGCAGTGTATAAAGATGATGGACCGGAGTCATTCTGTGGGGCATGCGCTCATGACCTGAGCACTGCTTTCAGGTACGGCCCACTTCCGACACATGGGGCGACCTATGGGTCGCTTGGTCCTCTTTCTACAGCACTCTGGGCATAAGATGCTCAGAAAGCGAATGATTCGCAGCATTGAACGCGTCGACGTACCATCCGCATTCACAACTCTGGTGGGGCCGACAATTTACCTTTCGACCCTACTTGCCGGAGTTTGCATTGAAATCGTCACTGACTGCAACCGGGAAGATGCCCGAGGCTGGACGCATCTCACTGTCCTTGTGTTAGCTGCAACATTCTGCTACTTCTACGGTTCCCTCCGCGTAGTTACTGCATCTGGGGTCGTGACTACATGTGACTACCTTGTTACTTTTGCGGAGCTTTTGGGATAGTACGGCTCTTTGTCCATCCCCGCACTCTTGTGGGACAACACTCTTGTATGACACTCACTCTTGCGGAACACTCTTGTGGGACACTCTTGTAAAACACTCTTGTGCGGCACTACTACTAAAGTCTCCAAAAGTCAACCGTCAGTGCCCCGTACAGGACTTGCTCCAAAAGTCACATGTCAAAGTCTCCAACACGAGCATTTCTTTCGAGACTTCCTCCAAAAGTCCAGCGGGAAGCCCCATCGGAGCACACGCACCCAAACACCACCACAACTCGCAACCTCATGATTCCCTGCGTCTGCCAGGAAAATTTCACCTCCACACCTCAAAACTCGCACAAAGTACTGCGCCTGCCACGAAAAGTGACACTATCATATCTTCGTAGATTCAGTAAATTGTTCACCACACCACAGGTTTGGAATGATTTCAACACGTTCTGAGCACGCTCCCAGCCACCAAAGTCGCTATTTTAGCTAAGACTTGTCACGAAAACACAGCTTCGAAGCAACGCAAATCCCAATGTCACAGCCACATCCAACACCCCAAAAACACCACCCTCTAAACACCAATCCCAAGCTGGCTGTGCAGAAAACTGAAGAGCTCACAAAACGCTGCGCCTGTGCAGTGAGTCATCCTCCACACTTCATCCTCTCACGTTTCCACACGTTTCCTCGCTATTTCACACGAACTGACACGTCATGCTTCCATCCAAAACCCTCTCCAAAACCTGCCACGTCAGCTTGGAGGCTGAAGCATCACCAGCTTCTGCACTTCACCGAGGTTGTTGACTGCAGAGATCAAACTAGCCTCTCAACAAATGGCCCTCCACCTAGAAGCGATGGCCTCCAAATGAAACTAGCCTCCCAACACACATGGAAGTGGACCATGGCCTCCCGAATGCATAGCGAAGGGTTCATTGCGCCATGTCGTCGTCGTGTCGTCGTCGGGTCGGCTCGCTGTTAATGCTCGTCGTTAATTCGCGTTGGGGGCTGGGCCTTTTTCAGGCGCTGCTTCTTTAAATGCTAATGGAACGAGACATGCCAAGAGAATTTAACTTTCCACACGGAGCATGGTGTGAGATCCAGCTCGCAGCGCATCTCGACCCACTGTTAAATCCACATGTTCGCGCCCAAACCTCGAAAAAAACAAGGTGAGCCCAATAGCAAAAAGAAACGCGCAACCCAGGAAAAATATACAAACACACATTAGCAGGCCAAAACGAAGCATCAGCCCCCTCCAGGCTTCGTGGCAACCATGATATTCCAAGCATCGCAGTTCTGGTGCACATCCGTCCACCCCCGTCTGCCATATACACCCCCGTCCACCCCTTGGTCAGTTTTGAAAGCCCTCCAAAACGGTCATAAAACGATTGCAACATGGCTTCTAACAACCCTTAGGAAGCGTGGAGCAGCATCAGCTCCCTCCATGCTTCGTTCCAACCATGAAATTTGAAGCATTGCGGCTCTGGCATGCAACCATCCTGCCGTTTCTGCAATGACTTGGGCTGTCTTCGGCATACATTGCACACATTCTGGACACCCAAGACCGTCATATAGGCCGTGCCAGACAGTTCCACTCGCGCAATAACGTTCTTCCGTTCTACTTAGCATCCATCTTCCTTCCACACCCCCGTCCACGCCCGTCCACCCTCCCATCTCCATCCATAGCCCGTCCACACCCATCTTCCGTCCACGAAAATGCTTGCCTCGTCTCGCTCTGCTCCCCCACTAACGACTAAACTAAACGAGAACCCAAGCATTGGAGATTCTGTTTGGGAAAAGCATGCGCATGCGTACTGCTGTGCCAGCGCTACAGTGCATCACACGCGGTCAAATGCTTTCGGGTCATTCGTCGTCTAATTTTTTGGCATAGATTCCGGTGGCGTGCATCGTTGGCATGATCAGGGCGTCGATATGGCGGAGATATCCCAGGAGGAGAGGATTTGTCGTTGGTTTTTCTCGAACAAGCCTTTGCGGGCTTCGATCTTAAGAATTTACACCGGCGTAGACCCTAGATAGAAATATCCTTGCAGTAAGAGGAAAACAAGACGGTTCCCTTTTTAGTCGGATTGGAGGTTGGTTGTACAAGCAGTTCCCGGGCAAGCCGGCGGCGGAAGTTTCCTATAGGAACAAATTGACCTATAGGAGTGTCCCGGTTCTTTCCACCATGCGTGTCCCTCGTGTCCCTCAGTCAGACGCATGAGTGATGAGTGATGAGTAAAGCATAGCTCTAGCTCCACTAAAGCTAACTGGAGCTAGCCGTTAACTATGATGTGATAGCTTGTCTAGACACGAAGCTAATTAGCTCAAATTTGTCGACCTCTCAAAACACGTGTTTTGAGGTCTCCAGAAAGTAATCGAAATGACCACTTTTGAGAAGCAAAGTGCTATTAAAATTTGTCAACCTCTCTCGAACCCGGTGGTCGGGAGACATGACATGACTCAGCTGCAGGGGCGCCAGAGCAGCCGTGAGAGATGACTCAGCCGCGTACTAAAGTTGTACTACCAAGTCGCCAGTTCTCATCTTCCAGCTCCCCAGATACTCCGCGCACTACAAAGTCGCCAGTTTTCATCTTCCAGCTCCCCAGGTACTCCGCGTAAGCTTCCAGCTCCACAGATTGCTCCGTGCACTAGAGTTGTACTACAAAGTCGCCAGTTCTCATCTTCCAGCTCCATAGATTGCTCTGCATACTACAGCTGTACTACAAAGTCACCAGTTCTCGGCTTCCGGCGCTCCCCAGATACTCCGCGTACTAGGGTTGCACTACAAAGTCGCCAGTTCGCAGCTTTCTCAGCTTCCAGCTCCACAGATTGCTCCGCGTACTACATACAAAGTCGCCAGTTCTCAGCCTCCAAGGTTCACAAAGCGCTGCGCCTGCCACGAAATCTGCACATGGAGGTTCACAAAGTGCTGCGCCCGCCACGAAATCTGCACATCGAGGTTCACAAAGTGCTGCGCCTGCCACGACATCTGCTCATGGAGGTTCACAAAGTGCTGGGCCTGCCACGAGATCTGCACTTTCAGGTTCACAAAATGCTGCGCCTGCCACGAAGTCTGCACATCGAGGTTCACAAAGTGCTGCACCTGCCACGAATTCTGCACATGGAGGTTTGAAACTAACTGGAGCTAGAGCTCTTGAAGAGCTAACTGGATGATGAGTGGTGCATGATGAGTGGTGTATGATGGGTGGTGTATGATGAGTGGTGCATGATGAGTGGAGTATGATGAGTGGTGTAAGATGAGTGGTGTATGATGAGTGGTGTCTGATCAGTGGTGTCTGATGAGTGGTGTATGATGAGTGGTGCATGATGAGTGGTGTATGATG